AATGGTCTCTTACTATGTGTTTGTATTGCTCCTTGCATAATGGGACTTAGTGTGCTACAAATAATAAATCTTGGGCTGCTTTGTGCGTTGGCTGGCCATGTAGACTGGCTGGAATAAAAGGGCTAGAGTTAATTGGAGAATAGCCTTTTTTAGACAGTCCAGTTTCCTCTCAGTGACGCTGGTGCATAGACACAATAACCCATAAAAGGTCACAGCAAATATATACTACGTTGGTTCTAATTCTCTGAGTAGAACAAAATTAGATCTGCTTTACATACTTTAAATATTTAATACATCATTTCAGAGCATGTAGTCTAATATTAAAGAGATGGTTCTATAAATACTTTGTAATTATAGATGCTGTCACATATCACAAAATCTATTTGATCACCTCTGGGAGAGAGATTTGGGTTTTCTAGATGGAGGAAACTGGGGAGCGGGGGGTAAACTCATTTTGTAAGTGGTGGAGATAACCGTGGAAACAATCAGGAAGTGTCTCCAACCAGTTTCGGTTATTAAGACAGTCTGGACAAGTTTCCTTCTCTGTCGGGAAGGAACAGAACGGTTCCTGTCTCCCTCCGACAGAGGAATGAAACCACTCAGGACCTTGAGAAAACGCTGTGGAGAAAATACTGCAATTTAGGAACAGCTGCTTACTCAGCAGATATTCCTAAATGGGAAGTGACAAACTGCAGTGTGGGACCCCGCCGAGGTCTGGGAGACTCCTGAGCATGCTGGCTGCTCAAGGTTCTGTGGGACATTCTATGACCATTGGAAAATTTGGAGTTACTAGTATTTTTGCCTCTCTCTGTTAAGTCTCTGCTGACCTGCCAGGAGTTCAAATGCAATCAAAAGGTAGTCAGGGTGCAGGTGAGACAGTAAGTAATGTTCTACCTGGCTGCATCTCAGATGAAACAGAAAACCAGTCGAACACCTGGGGTACGTCTAGACAATAGCGTTATTTTGAAATAAAGGGCACAAGCCATTATTTTGAAATCATGTCGACCTGGAGAACTTCTTACTCCGACTCCTATAACCCTCATTTCACAAGAGGGTTTTTCTTGCGCAAGAAGGGGCAGTGTAGATGCTCCTTGTGCAAGAGCCTCTTCTGAAAAAAATGGTGGCTCATTAGGTATGCAAATGAGGCTCAGCGATATTCCATGCTTAGCCTCATTTTCATATTACTTGCGCAAGAAGCCGCGAGTGTAGACATAGCCCTGGTGTGTTTGGCAGAGGAGGGATGCTCCAGCGGGTAAGGGGACCAGGTTTCAATTCTCTCCTCTGCCACAGGCTTCCTGAATGACTTGGAACAACCTCTCTGAGCCTCAGTTCCCCATCTGTTAAAAGGTGGGGTGATAGCACTGCCCTTTCACAGGGGAGTGTGAGGATAAATACAGGAAAGATGCCTGCTCAGCTGGAGAGAGAGAGAGAGACTGGGTCTTACCCTAGCCCCGGGCTACCCTCCAGATAGGTGGACGTAAGGCAGCTTACATTGATTGGGACAGAGAACAGGGATGTGGTGCTGAAGTTGCACAACCTGGTGGATTAGACCTACCCCGGAGAGCTGCTGCCGGGACCAAGAAGTCTTTCAGCGCCAGTGAAAGACTGCTTTTAAACCCACCCGTCTCAGTGGTGGCTGTTCCCATTTATGCTCAGTCCAAAGGACACCACTCCACAGTTCCAGCGCAAAGAGCCTTGTTCCCTGCTGAGGGAAACGGCTGCTGCGTGTCGGAATGTCTGTGGGCGGGTTTGTGCCAATTCGTATCGGACGTGTCACCGGGCGTGTTCCCGTGGCTGGCCCAGCTGCCCACAGACTCTACCAAGAAAGTGGTGGGAGCCCCAGACCTATGTTCGCAGGGCAGCTGCCAACGCATGCCAGCTTCCCGCCTCTCAAGAGACTGAGCCCTCTGGAGAGAAGAGCAGCCACACTGACAATACGAATCTTGACCATTTCCGGCAAGGACAGGGGATGTTAGGTGGTGTCCCTTGGGCCGACGGATGCTCTGCCACCTCCCTGCTGACGGTTTATTCCTGACGTTATTTTCCCCCCTTTTATCCAGGGTGAATCAATTAATGGTGCCACCAGCCTCTGTGAAAGTCTGAGAAGGTGAGTGACCAAAGCCAACACACAATGACAGTGGTGACATGGGTGCGCCGGGCCTTGGAGAAGGAGCTTTCCAGTTCCTGCCCCTGCAGTTGAGCAGACGGATGGCACTGTGTCCTGGGGGGGTCCCTCCCTCTAGCTTACAGGGACCAAGGGCAAGCCACATGAGAGAGTGCAAAGCAGGCGCCTTTAGGATCAAATAGTTTGACCAAAAAAGCCCTAGCTGCAAACTCCCTCCATTTTACTCTGCCGGGCCCCAAGGCCCAAAGTTACAGCTTCCTAGGAGCTAAAGGCCACTCTGTGGTGAAACACCTTCCTTCAGAGCAGAGCAGAGCAGAGCCTCCCCTCTCCTCCCCTCTCTCCCCCACCCTCGGCTTATCCCCAAGGGCAAATCCCAGGGAATCAAGTCTCTCAGTGACTCTTGCAATGAAATCACTCCCTTATCGATGCAAAAAAAAGCAAGGGACTGAAGAAGCTATGAGGCCTGTGTGACCCCCTTGTACTCCGGTGCCTTGCTTTAGGGAGTGGGGGGGGGGGGGGGGGTAACGGGGCCTATAAAGTTTCTCTCAGCCCACCCTCCTTGAAAGATACTGCAGGTCTTTGCCATCCAAAGGAGGTCCGTAGCATGAATGGTGATACCAATGCCAAACCAGATGCTCTGGCCTTGGTCTACACCAGTGGGTCCCAACCTTTTTGAGCCCTTATTAATCTATTAAAATTTCATGGACACCCCTCCCTGGGGGTGGGGAGGGAAAGAAAAATATGGAAGGAAAAAGAAAAGGAAGGAAGGCTCCTGACTTGTAAACTTTCCATGGACCCCCTGCGGTACTTCCGTGGACCACCAGTCTATCCCGGCATAGCTGTGTCAGTCAGGGGCATGAAGCAACTCACAGCCCGTCGGCGTACAGAGGGGGCTATGCCTGCCTAGCCTCGGTAGTGTAGACAGAGCCCGTTGCTGGACTGACTGAATTCCAGCAACACCATGACCGTTTTTCTGGCCAGACTAGGGACCACGTGCAAAACCAAACCCTGGTGATGTCAGTGGAAGCCAGGTCAGTATTTGGCCTGTCCTAAAGTTCGTTTGCGTACAGCAGTTCTGCTGTGGTGCTGCCACATGACTATCCACAACCTTACACTGGAAAATGTTTTTTGACTTTGCCTCTTTGCTGAGCCATATGCCTCCCTGGAGGACCATTCTGAGGCCTGGGCATTAGACCACACGCACACCTCTACCCCTATACCCCCAGCTCAGAGCTGCAGAGAGCAAAGGGTAAACTCTTCCTGGGGCTTCAGGAAAATTAATCGATCCGGCTTAAAAGGGGGGGGGTCTTGCCCATAAAAAAGTGCCGTGGGGACTTTGTGAAATCAGAATTAAAATAGCACAATTAAGGATGGTCTTTTTTGTGAACTGATGTAATGTTATCTTGACTATTGTTTCTATGGCGGTACATAGATTACGGTAGAATCTAAGCGCCCAATAGACAAGCTCTTAAACTCCCAGCCCAGGGCATGAAAGGTAACACCAACTTAATGCTATTTAATAGCATGCTACATGATTTTGAACATGGTTAAAGAATCATCAGAGACTCTTCTGGCAAAACTTACCTTATAATGGATTTAATACATTTCCCATTAGAGCAGCTGGAAACGGAAGGTCACATAGTGATGTAAAAAATAGCATCTCTTCACCCACCAGAGCTACCGCCTGCAGTCGCTATCAAAGCTGCTGGTGCCACTTCCTTAAAAGAAATTAATATTTTTTATTTTCTTCATTAGTGGCAGAATCGCTGACTCTGCGTTCCAGTTGCAAACGACTCAGTGCAATTGCTCAACCCTTTGGTTGCAGGAGCAGCAGTTTGAAAAGTGATTAAAAACAAAAGAGCTGGGTTCTGGGCTTGTTTTTCTATTTTCACGTCTGCGCCATTTACAAGTACACAGAGTGTTTTATTTTTTGGATTTTTTCCTTTTTGAGCTAGTGGCAGAATCGCTGACTCTGCGTTCCAGTTGCAAACGACTCAGTGCAATTGCTCAACCCTTTGGTTGCAGGAGCAGCAGTTTGAAAAGTGATTAAAAACAAAAGAGCTGGGTTCTGGGCTTGTTTTTCTATTTTCACGTCTGCGCCATTTACAAGTACACAGAGTGTTTTATTTTTTGGATTTTTTCCTTTTTGAGCCCCCCCCCTTTTCTTCCAAACTTTAGTGCAACTTTTTCAGTAAAATTTAATGTTGTTGAAGTCACAGGAAGCTCTCATGCCCTCTGCAGACATGTGAGAGGCCTGTGACTATAATTGGAACAGGCCTGGTCATTGGAAGAGCCTCAAGCTACAGTTAAGATCTTTCTTGGTGTCCTTTGATAAAGGGGAAGGGCTGGTTTCAGAGGGAGCGTCCAATGTGCCAAGCGGGTAATGCCGTTGTGTTGCGGAAGGGTTACGTGCACCTAACCCCTTCCAGTTATTTTTCCTACTGCCCATTCTTCATGCACTTATGGGGTGGGGTTTTGAGCGCTAAGACCCGTGGGCTGCAGTAGAATTACTTTGGAAGAGGAGTTGATTTTTAAAACCTCTCTAGTTAGACCAACACAAGCGCTCCTGCGGATGCAGGAAGGGGAGTACATGACACCTCATGCTGGTACATTTCTCCCTTCCCCCGTGGGAACAAGCTACCCCAGTCTAACAACATCCACAGTAGGCCCGTGGCACTGGTTCAGTGCGACTGGCATCATTCACGTGGTACAACCTGGACATCAGTGAGGCCTCCCTCTGGTGCCATCTCTCCAGATCATCATATCGAGTGGAAACTAGGGTTTGTTTTTCAAGCTCGTGCCAAGACCAGAAAGACCCCCTGTTGCATAACGACTTTTGTTCCCTTGTCTTCACAGCTGACGTGACAGACGTTGAAGGAAAAGAGGGGCGGACTCCAGCTCACACAACCACCACCCGAGCTAGGAACCCCCGGGACTGGAAACAAGCAAAACATCCAGCTCCGTGATGCATTTGGAGTCTTATCAAGTGCTAAGCCAATCACTTCACTCTAACCAGCTGCAGGGTCAGGGTCAGAGACGCAAAGCGGGGGCGTTAAGTGTCTTGTAGGGTTTCCCATATCCCTGAACGTCAACAGTGAGTGTCCAGACCCCACACCCACACCACCCTGTGACTGACTGTACATTGTGTATACATTAGGTTTAGCCAGTGAAGAAGTCTTTGTTGCATACAGGGCAACATCCGTCCTAGTAAATGCTGCCAGTTCGGTCAGCCAGAGACTGTGCCAGCTGGAAACCTGGTCTCTATATCTCGGCTTTCCAAATTGAAGGCTCAACCCGGCGTTCTTCAATGATTATTCAAACAGGTCGGCAGATGCTTTATCTTCGCAGAAGACACCAAATAGAGAGTTGGCAGAGTTGTATGCAAGCTTTGAGCATCTCGTGAGCCAGGCACCTTACTGGATGTGAACGCTTCCACTGCATGGCCACATCCATCCCCCCAGAGCGCTCCAGGGGAACATGCGAAAGGATGGCAGAGAGGTCCAAGCAACAGCGTCCTGCTTAAGGGAGACACGGTGGCACTAGCGTGGAGAGCTGTGTGTCATTCTTGAGCAGCTAGGAGGAGAAGGAGAGTCTCTCCCTTGCACAAGATGTTCTCTGGGATTGTTACAGAAGAGCCAGGAAAACCATGGTCAGTGCTTTCTGGTGGCTTCCAGTTTTGTTTAATGTAATTCGTTTCAGTGCCAGGGAGAAGAAAGTTTACAAAATACCGAACTCCAGAGATGAATTGCTTTCCCTGAAGTCTGGTATTGCTGCACTGAGGGTCTGTGTGTGGTTACATGCATAGAATCATCATTATGCATGCTGCAAATACTAATGATTTTTTCCCCAGTATTTTTCAAACACATTTATGGTGTTATAAAGCTTTGTTCCTACAATTTTAGTATTTCCCCTCCCTGCAGTCCTAGGCAACGTCTACCCTGCAACACTATTTCGGGATACTGGAATATCCCGGCTTTCTAGGTATTACAGCTGTGAGCAATGAGGTGCTAATGGCTCCAGAAAAATAATTGCCCGCTCACCTCATTTTTTGGCTTAGTCAAAAGCGTAAGCTGGGACAAGTCTCTCTCCTCCGTTTACTTACGTATCACTGGGCCTCAGCCCTTTTCAAGCAAATTTTTTAGGGTTGAAATTTGGCACTAAATGACGAAATAAGCTATTTCGAAATAGCATTGAAATAAGAGACGCAATGTGCATAGGTCAAATTGCATCTCTTATTTCGAGTTACGGTGCAGCGTAGATGCACCCCAACTGTTCTGGTTTGCTCCCTCCTAAGGGAGTGACAGTCTGACTTAAGTTCACTTTGAACTTTCCAGAATTGCCTCTGGGATTTTCTTTTTAATACCCTCGTCCACACTGTAAGGAGTGAGCCTCTCCTCGCTTTGTGTCTAATGTCAGATCTTTTGTTTAACAAAGAGGTCTTGTTTTTTGTAGTTGACATTCAAGTGTCACATTTACACTACACCAGCATGAAGGTATTACAGCTGTGAGCAATGAGGTGCTATCGGCTCCAGAAAAATAATTGCCCACTCACCTTATTTTTCTGCTTAGTCAAAAGCGTAAGCTGGGGCAATTCTCTCTCCTCCGTTTACTTACGTGTCACTGGAAAATGCATGTAGGCCTCAGCCCTTTTCAAGCAGCCCAGCAAAATACTCTTCCTTTCAAACTAGGCCAGGGCTGGATTGGAAACAATACTAACGAGCATTCTGGGCCGGTTTTACTCATCAGTGGGGTAGAGATTAGTAGCAGCAGAGCCACTGATTAACTAACGTCAACGCTACCACGACGGCACAAGTAAATCAGAGCCCACCCCACTTTAAAATGTTTCAAGTCTTTTCACGTCCACCGTGAAGGCAGGGAGCTGTGCTCTGCAGGGAAGACACGAGAGACGGCAGATATTTACCTCCAGTTACCCGTGTCCTGGTCAAAAATAGCCACATTTGCAATAAGATTCCTTTTAAAACAACTGAGCAAAGTGTCAGTTAATAATCCCCTTGATGTGAACGAGACCAGTTCGTCACTGTAGCTGTGGCTAACCAAATGAGCAATACAAGCCCTTCTAACAGTCCTGCGAGAGAACCTGGAACTGCCTGGGTCACCTTAAACCAGTGGGTCCCAAACTTTTTGGCATCACGCCCCCTTTTTGATTTTTGAAAAACCCTCACGGGCCCCCTCCCCCTCAAAAAAATAGCAGTAAAACTAGTTGAGGAAAACTAGGGGCAGCAAAACTTGATGGGGGTGGGGGAGAGCTGGGTCACCTCGCCCCCCCCCTTGGAATTTCTCCCAGTTTGGGAACCCAGGCCTTAAACGGTGAGATTAGTGACCTCACGTTTGCAGAAACAAATCCCACGAGAAGTGTCATTTCTACAGAAGCCCCTGGCACAGTTGGTGACTCCTGGCTAGAGAATCCTATTGGTTTCCTCCCTGGGAATTCTGTAGGGCAGTGATCCCCAGCATGGTGCCCGGGGGCATTTATGTGCGCCCGCCTAGTGACCAGGGCCGGCCGGAGCCATTCTTACGCCCCAGGCGCCAGGCACATGTGTGGGCCCTGCCCCAGGTGTGCAGCGCATGCGCAGTGCCGCCCCCGGGTGCGTGGTGCATGGCAGTGCTGCCCCCGGGCGTCCGGCAGCCCCAAAAGGTTGGGGACCACTGCTGTAGGGACTCATCTGCCAATAGTCTTCGATGGTGGGGGAGTTTATAAGTATTTTTTATAGGCTGAGCAGACAGTTGGAGCGCGAAGCCTTCTACTGGCCCGTCCCCAGGAGAACAGCCACTGGGCTTGTGCTCCGCTACAATAATCAGCAAAGCGAGTGCACACCAAAGCTTCATTTCCCACCTCATGCCGTTAACAGCCTTGCTCAAGGAAACCTCCGCAGCCTGGCAGCCAAAGGCCTGCGTTGGAAGCACGTGATTTTTTGTGGTTCTCGTGAAGATGTTCGCCGTTAATCTATGTAAAACCTTGAAGGCAGGCAGCTGGATGTCAGAGGCCAAGGGCAGAGGAGCTGGATTTCCTAAATTGTTACTTCAAGGTGCTTTAAAAGTTACAGCACTTAACCCTCAAGAGCAGGACGTTGGCATCCCCTGGGATGTTATTCCCAATACATTTGCAGTGGAGAGGGAGCTGATAAATACGCCTTAATTTGACCGCATTTTCCATTTGGCAACACAACCATCTCCTTCGAAGGAAGGCACAGCCGTCGTGGAGGGGCAGGCCACACTTCCACGGTGTCTGGCCACAGTGTAAGCAAATGGAGAATTAGCTCCTGTCCCCACACTAGGGATCCTTCACTGACTGAATTCTCCTGTCAGAGGCTGAAACGCCAGGCTCCACAGAGCTAAAGTAGCCAGCCATGAGACCCCAGGGAGGGAAAGAAGCAGGGAATTTGAAACCCCCATCTTGAGGCTGTCATCTCCCCTTTGCATACCATGTGCAGCCACCCAAAGAGAGGAAGGTGTTTTTGAGGTGTCGCTACACATGTCTATTTCGAGATGGAATTTCTCTAGCATTGTTCTGTTAGAGCTTCTATTACATATTTATTCTTTAGAAAGAAAGCAGGTCATTCGGATCAAGGGGGCAGGGCAACGACAAAGCAGTAAGTCAAGCGTTCTGGCTGCTCAGAGAAGGGAGGCTTGAGAAGTACTGAAGAGGAGGCGGCTGGGTACAACCTACCTTCTGGTGTAACATTCGGGCTCTCTGCTAGTGCATCCTCCCTCGGGTGGCATTGATCTCATGGGCGCTGATGCCAGTTCTTGCCAATAGGACAAGTGGGTTCCAGGCCCAGTTCCACTGCGTGGCCTGTAGGCCAGACGCTACCTCTCCGCTTGTTTCTTCAGCAGTAACATGGAGAGCGTTACCGGCCCTTTCTGGCACCGTGTCCACGAGGAACGCTCTGCCTTCCCAGCTCTGGCGCAGGGTGCAAACGCCGGTGTTCCTCTGCGGCACTACTGTAGTCTCTTCCTCGGCCACATTCAGAACCGACGAGGGCCGGGGCTCTCGCCATGGAGACGGGGGTTCCCCACAGAAGGGCGTCAGGAAAAGCCGCAGCAGAAATAGAGTTGGGTGCGTCGTTTGGCACCGAGACGCAGATAGTTTAACGTGCGCTTGTCACTTGACAGCTGGTACCGGGGGCTTCCCTAACGCGCCCAACCGTTGCGCGAGGCCCAGCGCTTGCTGGTGTACCGGGGGAGAGGGAGGGGCTGAAAGTAGACGTAGAGTGAAGCTAGTAGGAGGAGGGACCCAGCGCAGCGGGCGAGGCTCTGAAAGCTGCCCCAGCTCTGCAGAGACGGCAGGGCTAAGAAATCACTTTCCGCGTGAAGCTGAGGCAGTAGCGGGTTAGCGCGACAGCCCTACGTGCTGGCCTAGCCCCTGCACTTAAATGCCCCTCAGTGTAATTGCTGTAGGGTCACGGCTCTGCCTGTGTAGGCCCCCTTCAGGAAACAGAAGCAAGTCTTGGGTATTGGCTGTAGGCAAAATGGGGGTCTGCGCATTAGACGTAAGGCTCTAGCGGGTCCTGAGAGCATCTGCAAGGCCATGGGCCCGTGGGCGGCTTCTACCTCCCCGCATCTCTCCCCCACCAATAAGCTGCAGTGCTGAGCAGTGCCGACGCTAGAGCAGCTAAACCTGGACAGCAGAATGGGAGCTGGGGGAGAGGGAACGCTCCCTCGCCTGCCCTACGCACATGGCCCCTGATGCAAGAAGGAGGATGCTAGGGACAGGCACACACTGCACCTTTTCCCCTCCCTGGGTAGCCCTCACAACCGACGGGGCCGGAACGCTCCCTCAGCGCCCCTCTGACCTCCCTCATCTCTCCCTCACGTCCGCACTGGTGAGGCACTCGCTCCCTTCGACGCAGCCCGGTATCGGCCATTGCCTTGCAGCATGGCCCCTGATGCAAGAAGGAGGATGCTAGGGACAGGCACACACTGCACCTTTTCCCCTCCCTGGGTAGCCCTCACAACCGACGGGGCCGGAACGCTCCCTCAGCGCCCCTCTGACCTCCCTCATCTCTCCCTCACGTCCGCACTGGTGAGGCACTCGCTCCCTTCGACGCAGCCCGGTATCGGCCATTGCCTTGCAGGTAGTCACCGGCGGGGGCGCGGCCGGGGGGGCGACCCCGG